GGACCTTGTCTGGTAGGTCAGAAATCGTACTATGCAGCTCCTAATTAACAAGCCATTAGCCAGTCTGTTGTGAAATGCCTGTAATCTTGTCTAATTAAAATGCTATCAAGTTAATTCAGAAATGTGGGAAAACTTAATACTGGAATTTGCCTTCTGTTTTGTTTATAAATCCAGTGTGGGGAGAAGAGATTCCGTCCTTGGAGAGTTTTGATTAAGTTGACGTGCGTTTGCTGTGAATTGTTAGCAACGCTCAGTAGTCGCCAACGCTCTTGTTCTGCTTTACAGGTTTGCTCTGTAGGCATTAAGTCCCACAAAGACAAATCCCTTCTATACCTGCCATGCATATTTTATTAAGAATTGCTGAGAATTTTTTTTTTTTCTCTTTAAAAAAAATAAAACTCACTGTGGGACAAAGCATTCTGAGGCACATTCTGTGCCTCCCAGGTCTTTTGCTTTCAGTGTAAATAAAAGAACAACTCGTGTCAGTCAAACTTAATAGAATCTCTAGGGGCAAAATGAGATCTTTTGCAGAACAACTTTTGGGTCGGTTTGTTTTTGTAAAGAGAAGAGCCGTTACATTCCCTACTGTCTCGTTTTGTGTTTAAAAGAAAAAAAGAAACCATGGCATATAAAGAAGTAAAATTTACATGGTTGTGAATTACAATATTCTGTTGCGTTAAATAAGCTTTGTTGTGTTACTGCTGTACATCGTCCCTGCTGTGGGTTTTGGCTAGATGGTACGTGAAACTTACAGGAGATTAATTCTTTTCAGTGTGATTTATTCAGGAAAGAGACGCAGACTAGTAATTTGTAGCAAGATATGGCTTCTCTTATAGAAAATAAAGACCTTCCTGTTTCCATTTGTGAGGGGGCACAAAAGGTAACAGGTTGAGGCTAGACCCAAGGACCAGTGTTTCACAGTGAGGGAAAAGGGCCTGGTTAATTTTGTTAGGAATACTGTGTTTGTGATTTTTACACATGGATTCTTAATCTAGGTTTAAATAATGAGGAGTACCAAGTGGTCATCGGAAATGACACAACTCATTATATTATTGACGACTTGGAACCTGCCAGCAATTACACTTTCTACATTGTGGCATATATGCCAATGGGAGCCAGCCAGATGTCTGACCATGTGACACAGAATACGCTTGAGGATGGTGAGAAAACACGATTCTAGATATCTCAGTATGAACGTTCATATATTTAGTCAATTTCAAAAAAAAAAGTGTGTTTTAAATTAGAGAAAATATCCCCTTTTTTGTTAAAAAACAGATATATATTAAACAGCAGGCCAATTTGCCATTCCAAATCTGACTCTTTTTGCAAGTATTATAGTATGATAAGGAGAAAGAGCACTTTTATTCATAGTTCATAATACAAATTTTAATAACAAAATTCTTATATTGTTATTTTATTTCTTCAAAGGTTCCTAGTTTAAATTGTAAATACATTGGAATATTTTTTTAATGGAAAGAACAAAATGTGAGTTTTTCTATGCATGAATAAGTATAATGACTGTTATATTTTGAGTGTATTTATGTAATGACTGAGGGTCAGAGCTATTAGACTTCTGAAACCAGGAGTTTATAAAATTTAGTACCTGTCAGTTAAGAAATTCTTAGCACTTAGTATCTGTCAGTTAAAAAAAAAATCAGTGCTTAGTTTTTATTAGATATAACAGGCTTAAGGAGGAAAACCTTTGTTGTTCAGTTTGTTATCTGATCATGGTTTGCAAGTTAAGTTGTGGTTCTTTTGAGGGAGGGCAAGCCTACATATATTCTTATAATTTTGGGGAATTCCATCCATTAAGATAGTTCTAGAAAACTGATTATCTTCTTCCGATTCTTTATATCATGTTGTAGAAGAGAAAGGGTCTCTCTCTCTCTAGGGGCTCTAGAAGGCCCATTCTTGTACCCAGCAATGAGTGTGAAAAGGAATTATTTAACATATGCTTTATTACACTGTTTTCCCTTTATAAATGCTTTCTCCTCCTCAGAAAATGATCCACTCTTAGTTTTCAAACTTTTTTTTTATAAATAATCCCCAAATCTCCTTTTTTTTTTGTTCATTTGGTCCTAGATCTCTTAGTTATATCTTTATAATGCCACTTATTTAGGTGTTTTTAGATTCATAGTTTGACTAAATGAAAACATTCTCACTTACCTGGATGCTAACTTCCAAATTTTAGTTTTCATTTAAGACTCTGTTCCACTTTGGAGTGAGCTACAACATATATGACATCTCCAGTTATCACATTACATGTAACAGCCTCTGTTAGGTACATCTAAGGTGAAACACAGATATATATATATATATAAGGTATATATATATATGATATATATTTTTATATATATTATATATCTTTTTGGCTGGACGCTTGTAATCCTAGCACTTTGGGAGGCCAAGGTGGGAGGATCACTTGAGTCCAGGAGTTCAACACCAGCCTGGACCAATAGCAAGACCTTGTCTCTACCAAAAAAAAAATTTTTTTTCTTTAAATTAGCTGGGCATGGTGCTGCACACCTATAGTCCCAGCTATTCAGGAGGCTAAGGCTGGAGGATTGCTTGACCCCAGAAATTTGTGGTTATAGTGAGCTATGATGATGCCACTGCACTCTAGCCCTGAAAACAGAGAAAGACCCTGTTTCAAAATATATATATATATATTTTTTAACATATATGTTTTATATAAATATATGTTTTCATATGTGATCTGTATTATAGGTCATATATTTTAATATATATTATATTATATATATATTTAGGGCATGTGTATGAGGTGTATTTCCCTCTGTATCCTTGAAGAAAATGAGTCTCAGTATAGCAACCTAGCTGTTAAAGTTTGCCATTCCAATTAAGTTATGATCTCAGAGTTTTTCTCTTTTAAACCTTTTATTACTCTGGACCTTTTTTATTTAATGAAGTTCATTTTATTTTGTGGATAGCATACAGACCTTCTGACACTGCTTTTCAAATTTCTGCCAGTTTCTCCCATTGTGCATAACACTGTGCCACAGATACAGCTACCACTTAATGGAGCACGTACCACCTGCCTATTCTAAAAACCTTATGTCCATTATCTCATTTAATTCCTACAGAATCCTATGACAGAGGAACTGTTATTATATAAGAGGCAGCACAGTATAAGGGATAAGAATATGTGCTCTTTCTGGTCTGCCCAGGTCTGCTCCTTCACTTAGGACCTGTGTGACCTTGGGCAAGTGATTTAACCTCTTTGTGTCTCAGTTTTCTCAGCTATAAAGTAGATATTTCCTTCGTTGGATTTTGTTGAGAATTAATAAGTTCATATACATAAAGGACTCAGAAGTGCTTAATAAATGGATTTCTTGTTTTCACCCTAGTCCTTCATTCAACATGTATTTTATTGAGTACTTCCTATAGGTTATTCAATAGTAGTGAACAAAACACAAAGAAGTCATGTCTGACCTTGTGGATCTTACTTTCTAGCGGGAGAAGGGGCAGAGGAACAATGAACAAGATAAACAGCAGATGATACACTATGTTAGATAGTGGTGGGTGTTGAGAAGAAGGGGGGCAAAGCAGGGAAGGAGGGGGTACATGAAATGTTGGGGGTATTTGAGATTTCAGACAGAGTCACCACTAGAGAAGGGCTCACTGAGTAGGTGACATTCCAGTGAGGACCTGAAGGAAATTAGAGTGCGGGAGTTGACCAGGCATACAGCCAGGGGACGTGCGTTCTAGGCAGAGGAGGGGGAAGCGCAGAGGGCCTGCAGCGCAGACATGGCTGGGATGGAGCTGCCTGAGGAGAGCGGTAGGAGATGAGGCAAAAAGAGTAACAGAGAGCCGACCCCACAGGCAGAGATAGAGCTTTGTAGGAAGCCAGCAAGGACATTGGCTTTTGAGTGGAACAGGAACTGCTTTGAGCAAAAGAGCGGTCTGACTTGCATCTTAGCAGGCCAGTGTGCCGACTACAGATGGGAGGGCCAGCAGCAGAAGTAGGGACACCTGTTGGGAGGTTCTTGCTGCAGTCCAGGCTAAAAGTGACGGTGGCGTGGGCCAACCGTGGGACAGAAGTGGTAGAGCCACAGGATTGGCAGCAGAGCGTGCGTAGAGGAGTTGAGTGACCCCGAGGTTTTGGGCCTGAGCAGTTAGACAGATGATTGCTGTTAACCAAGATGGGAAAGACTATAAAGGGAGCTATGATTATCGTCCCATTTTGTGTCTGAAGAAACCTAGACACGAAGAAGTTAATTTGGCCAAGATAGTGCAGAGTTGTACGTGGTAGGACATGGATTCAAACAGAGAGAGAGGCTAACTCTAGAACCCAAGCCTTAGCTGTCAATACGAGACTGCCTGCCACTCTACTTGACTCAGTTTCCTGGAATGCCAGGTTTATTCAAATTATTGGAGGAGTGACTGTTTTCATATTAGACACGGTGTGTCATAATTGGGAATATGAAATTCACATTAATTTTTAAGATGAAACTCTTACACTTAAAAAAAATTATTTGCCAGGTTATAACCCTAGAGTCCTAGGCTCCCCTACCCTTGTATCATTCACTCCCCCTTATTTCATAGGCACTCTGGTGGAACTATTTGAGAAGTATTCTCATATTTCATATGAGTATTGTCTTCTCATATTCATTTTAAACAACAAAACAATCACAACAGGTGAAGAAAACCTTCCTTTCTTTGGTTATATACACTTGGTCCTCCCTCATTATTTTTCATTCTTTTTTCTGGTCTGTACTCGACTTCACCGGAAACCTCTGCCAGGGCTGAAAGCATCTCCTCTTTACTATGTTACACATTGTCATTAAGAAAATTCAAATAACTACTGGTGTGCTAAGTGGCAATTTGTTTTTGTTGTTGTTGTGGTTTTGAGACAGAGTCTCGCTTTGTTGCCCAAGCTAGAGTGAGTGCCCTGACATCAGCCTAGCTCACAGCAACCTCAAACTCCTGGGCTCAAGCGATCCTCCTGCCTCAGCCTCCCGAGTAGCTGGGACTACAGGCACGCGCCACTGTGCCTGGCTAATTTTTCCTATATATATTAGTTGGCCAATTAATTTATTTCTATTTATAGTAGAGACAGGGTCTTGCTCTTGCTCAGGTTGGTTTCGAACTCCTGACCTTGGGCAATCCGCTGGCCTCGGCCTCCTAGAGTGCTAGGATTACGGGCGTGAGCCACCACGCCCGGCTGTGTTTTTTTTTTTTTTTTTTTATTTTGGCATATTATGGGGGTACAGATTTTAAGGTTTCAACCAGCTGTGGTTTTAAGTATTTTATAACCAGCCTGTTTTCTTACATGACTAGTTCCTCTGAGACCACCTGAAATTAGTTTGACAAGTCGAAGTCCAACCGACATTCTTATCTCCTGGCTGCCGATCCCGGCCAAATACCGGCGGGGCCAAGTGGTGCTTTATCGCCTGTCCTTCCGCCTGAGCACTGAGAATTCCGTCCAAGTTCTGGAGCTCCCGGGGACCACGCACGAGCACCTTCTGGAAGGCCTGAAACCTGATAGTGTCTACCTGGTCCGGATCACTGCTGCCACCAGGGTGGGGCTGGGAGAGTCCTCAGTGTGGACGTCACATAGGACCCCCAAAGCCACAAGCGTGAAAGGTGAATTTCCGAAGACTGTTGAGGAAGAATAATGATACAGTATTTTCACTTTCAAAGAAAGTTTTGCTTCTCTGTGTTTAAATTTTAACATTTTGTTTTATGAATAAAAACACTCCATAGACTTAATTGAAAAAATTAAACTTTAATTTAGTAATCCCTTTTTTGCACAGAGCTCATTACTGTGTAAAACTTTTGTTAACACTGTTGGTTTACTTAGCAAATCCTTCATGGACAGATCAGTCCAAATCAAACAGAATTGCCAAAAGAAATACATTAGTAGAGGCCTAATTAATATTATTGCCATTTTTTTGTTTCCTGAGACAGGGCCTTACTCTGTTGCTCAGGCTAGAGTGCAGTGGCACCATCATAGCTCACTGCAACCTCAGATTCATGGGCTTAAGCAATCCTCTCACTTCAGCCTCCTGAGTAGCTGGGGCTATCGATATGCACCACCATGCCTGTCTGATTTACCTATTTTTTGTGGAAATGAGGTCTCACTATGTTGCCCAGGCTGATCTCAAACTCTTGGCCTCAAGGGACCTCCCTGCTTCAGCCTCCCAAAGTACTGGGATTATAGGCATGAGCCACCACACCCAGCCTATTGCCATGTGTTTTTAAATCATCAGTTCAATAGGAAGGCTATAAGACAAGGAAATTCTAGATTCTTGTCTTTTACTAACATGGAATGTAACATGACCGGTTTTCTTGTTGTTGTTAATTGACTAATAATAATGCCTGTTCTCTTTATCACAGAGGAGTATTGGATGGTCAAAATTAGGAAATATGTATTGTCTCTGTGAAAAAAAAATTAAATGCACAAATACAGGTATTATTTTAGTATTTATATGTCTTAGTCTTTTTAAAGTAGTGTTTTATTTTATTTTTTGAGTTTCAAAGGATTTCTCCATTTTCTCCACATGGTCATGGCCATGTTTTTACATAGGAGTCTGTTACTACTCACAAACAGAATACAGATTAAAACTAAAGCACTCCTTTCCTTCCAAAGAGTATTTTTTTTTTATTTTTAATCCTATCTCAAAGTGTAATATCACTGTGAAATTTTGAAAGCTAGGTTAAAGTATAATTGTTGCATTAAACTTTTTGGTAACCATTGGCTCAAAACTGAGAGATCTGTGCTATTTTGTGTTTTCATGTGGATTGTGAGTTGTTTATACATACATTTTCTGATGAATTTCTCTAGCTCCTAAGTCTCCAGAGTTACATTTGGAGCCTCTGAACTGTACCACCATCTCCGTGAAGTGGCAGCGAGATGCTGAGGACACAGCGGCCATTCAGGGCTACAAGCTATACTACAAGGAAGAAGGGCAGCAGGAGAATGGACCCATTTTCTTGGATACCGGTGACCTTGTCTATACTCTCAGTGGTTTAGGTGAGTGAGTCTGTCACTGTGCTTTTCCTTCTTTCCCTTCCTCTCTGACCTATTGTGAAAAAAGCTTTTGGATGTGAGGCAGGAGAACTGACTTGATGGTACCAAGAAAAGACTTGATTTACTACATTACTGTGAATGTTCTACTGCTTAAGCCAGTTACTGTTCTTTGACTCACCACTCTGAGTCAACTGGCAAAGTGTCAGGTAGCCGTGGCATCCCTCTGTCTTTCCTATAACTCTGAGAATCTGCTTTTCTTTCTAGAATTCACTTCTGGTAGAGGGAGATCTTGATGAGTTATTGCGAGTTGTGTGGTGGATGTAGAATAGGAAGTAGAAAAGGGATATCACCAAATGATTAAATAGTAATTACTAAATAATTAAATAATACTCAATTAAAATTAAATAATACTCAGTAGTTAAGCTTAACTTACAATTTACCTCACAGTGCTACATAATTTATATATAATTATAAGTTATGTATGAAATAATGCCCTTACATATGACCCATGTAACAGTAAATATTTACTTTATGTAGCTCTAGCCCAGGAAAACTGGAAAAAAAAAACCACTGAACTTTGCATTTGGGTTAGTCAGTATTCTGAAAGTCACTGTTTTATTCCCTATTCTTCCTAACTGTGTAGGGTGAAAGGAATTTCATGATGTGAACATGTTTCATAGAGAGCAAAGAAGTTTGTATCTAAAATGAATATTTGAGTATAAACAGACATATATACTCATCAAGGTGGAAAATGCATGCTTAGCTATTTGTTGCTCACGAGTAGAACAAACTGCAAAGCAGTCACTTTAGTTATGATGACCAGCCAAACAGGTGCTGAATTATTACAGCACCTTCTGCACATATTAGAGAATTTTACAGAGCACTCTGGCTTTTGCTTTTACAGACTGCCCTTTGGAGGTGAGGTTAGGTCAGAGGAACGGTGGTCCCCATTATGGGCTTCTCCATTTCCTTCCCTGGCCTAAAGGTAGCACAGGCTGAGAGAGCAGCATTAGATCTGAGTCCCTGCACAGTGAGAAGCAGTGGTGGAAATCTGTTTTCAGATGCAGGGATACAGAACTCCATCCTCCTGGGGGTATAGCTCAGGGGTAGAGCATTTGACTGCAGAACTCCATCTTGCAGTTCTCTGCCATCATTTTCCAGATGGTATTGTGCTTATAATCTTATTATGTCCGTTTTTAATTTAATCTGCATTTGGTTAAATAAGTTTCACTATTGACCTCTGTCACACAGCTTTATAAACGATGAGAGGAAGTTGCATATGTTCTGGGTTGACCTTACTTAATCCATTGATACTGAGATGACGCTAGAACAGCCTACTGTCACCAAAGTTGGCAATGTTTATTTCTAGCCACAGCTTCTCAGTGTGCCCTTTCCGCATGCATATCATTGATTCAGGAACATTTTATTGAGTATTAAGTAAGAAACAGGATTTGGGGCAATTGTTGAAGAATCATAGATCAAACTTAGTACTTCCAATTTTCTCACTCTTAAGGAAATACAAATAATGTAAAAAGCACACACAAAAAAACGCATTCCTAGAATGCTCTCTTCTTGAATGTGCATTACAAGGGGCTCATTCTGAACAGATGAATAATTTGCTAAAAAAAAAAAAACAAAATAATTCTCTACTCGTGAAAAACATTGTAAAATGTCTATAGAAACATTTTATTAAAACTGTGGCAATGAAAGGCAATTCTTTAAAATTTTCTACACATGTACATACTAAAGAGGAAGACCCACTGAGCTTTGTTGAACATTTTTATAATCTCTGAATAATAGTCAGCTTTCTAAACCATAAACCTTTATGTTAACCATACATTTGAAAAATAAATCACATATATTTCTGCCTTTGTTTTTATGTCGTAAAATCTATTGTGTATAGTATTCGAGGGGTAACTGCATTGATAATCACTTGTTAATGCATAAGCCAGGTAATTATTTTGTTATAGTCAATATACCATGTCTATTAAAATAGCTCCATGTTTCCTGACTGTGGAATTAGACTGAGTGGTTGGACTAATTGCAGTTCAGGGTGATGGAGGCCTCTCTTGCAGCTGTAGGGTCTTTCTTGTTGGACGACAGGTCCCGCACCCCTGGAGCTGCCGAGTCAGGGCTCCAACGGCTGATGAGCAGGGATGCGGCTGACGAGCAGGGATGCGGTTGTGTGGATTCAAGTATGGTACAGCTGTTGACTGGATCACCTTCAAGGTGCCTTTTAATCTTGAGACCTCCTAGGGTTTGGTCTTCCTTTTCTAGAAAGCCAGTGTTGGGGCCTAGCCAACCCTATGGCAGGCTAATATGTTTAACCCACTAAGCAGGCAAGTGTTAACAGCTCTCGTTCCCTCTGACTTTTGGATATCGGGAGAGCAATATGTCCTGTTAACTGGACAACTGACCATCTGTGACCATTTTTAGCGAGAGCATCTGGCGGTGGCTGCCTGTTTAACAGAGAGTGATGTGTCTAAAGGGCAGTAGGTTAAGAGAATCCTATCTGTGTCTTGCATGGTGAATACTCGCTTTCACTGAGCTTTTGCACATTAAAGATACTCTGACTGGAACTAGATTTACTAAGTGGCCTTGGAAATGAAATTTAAATGCTTCTGTTTGCTGATTCAATGTCAATTTGAGTAACCAACTGATGTCCCAAAATTTCATTTTCATACTAATCGCCTTTCTGACGCCCTTATACTCATCCTTTTGTTTCCACTTCTGGTAATTAAGTTTTCAGTTTAAAAAGTATGTTATTGGGACACATTGTCCTTGGTAATACACATAGTTCTTTGTTTCTGAAAGAAAGAAAAAGACGAATGAATTTATATATTTCAATTCATTTAACAAGCATTTTCGAATATTTTTCTAAGTAAGGCATTATAGTACTACATAAAAAGATGTAACAGATGTAACCTCTGCTTAAAACAAGAAGAGTTAAACCAAAAGATATTTAATTGACTGACTTTTCCAATTTCCCCCCACATTTCTGATAAACTAAATCTAATTGTATTTAGTAATGAAAGTTATTTTACAGCCTTTTACTCTAAAACCTCAAAGCTCAGTTCCCTCAGATGTAGAGTTTTATTTTTTGAAGTAGCTAAAAAAATTCTTGTGTCTTTAATAGTATAATATATTGGCAGAGTAATGTAAATATTTTGATGTTGCCAGTTTGATTTTAATGACTTTAAAATAGAGTTTGATTTTAATTAGAACTGGTTTACTTTTGGAAGGGTTGGAAAAACATTAAGCTTGTGATTTATCATGTTTGTGTGATTTGTTCTAAATTGTTGTTTGAGGTTTGTTTCAAGACTTTGCATCTTTATTGTGATTAATTTCACTTAGGTTTTTTTTTCTTGGCCCTTTTCAATGTTTAGCTCAGTTATAAGTAGGATTTTAAAATGTTTGTTATATTTATTATATACTAAACTGAAGCAAAATTAACAACACACTTGTGTTCCCTGATAATAGACTGATTTAAATAATTTGTTCCTCTTTTTTATCTATTTAGAAATTGGCTTTAAGTTCTGAAGTTAGAGTTTCTAATTGCAAAGGACTCTTTTCATAAGCTGTCAGAGACTATTCTGGGTTGTTCAGTCTTTATATAGTAGAATGAAAAAGGAGAGATTATTTAGATAGTACTGTTGTTTGTTTAACATTTAGGACACCGATATTTAGGACATCGATATATGTCATCTTTAGCCTTTACTTTGGCAAAGAACTTATGCTATGTTAATTTTGAGGCAAGCATGATTAGTGAGCATGAGGTTTAGCACCGATTATAAATATAAGGATACAAAATATTTTAAATCATTAGTAATGTATGTGGATCACTTCCACCTTCAAAACTCACAGATTTTTATTTGCATTTTATTTTTTAGACATCCAAAGTTGGAATCCCCAGTTACTGCCAGAGATAGAAATTGAAAGAAACAGGTCCCTGGTTAATAATGTAAATTTAGAGTCTCTTAGTTTGTATAGACTCATGCTAAAATTAAGTCAGATTTCTGGGGGGTTGGGTTTTTTTTTTTTTTTTTTTTCCATAATAGGATAGGATAAGGTTTAGTTGAGTGGTATCTCCAGAGAAAAAATCAAGAACTACTAGTGGTGGCCAGGGCTCGGTGCCTCATGCCTCTGATCCTAGCACTCTGGGAGGCCAAGCCAGAAGGATCACTTGAGGTCAGGAGTTGGAGATCAGTTTGAGCAAGAATGAGATCCCATATCTTCCAAAAATAGAAAAAATTAGCAAGGCATGGTGGTGCATGCCTGTAATCCCAGCTACTTAGGAGGCTGAGGCAGGAGGATCGCTTGAGCCCAGAAGTGAGGTTGCAGTGAGCGAGGCTGACGCCACTGCACTCTAGCCTGGGTGATAGAATGAGACTCTGTTTCAAACAAAGAAAAAAAAAAAAAAGAACTACTACCGGTGAAACAAATTGATATAGCTGAAGGGAATTGTAACTTTTTCCTTTAGCTGAGGCAGGAAAAGATTTTGTACCATAAAAGAGGCCACCTATATGGGAGATAGTACATTGTGAACCTTACCATGGTAGTGACTTTGTTCTGAAGAAAATTAGAATCACTCAGTTTTTGAAATATGGAAATCATGTTTTAAGATAAGCCAAAGTCTTTCCAGAGACTGTGTTCCCTCATCTCTTTCACACAAAGAAGCCTTAGATAATACTCAGAAAATTTTTGGAAATGTCTACTGGTGAAAATCCTTATAAATGTAATTTTTTTCTATTTTTTTTATTTTGGCATATTATGGTGGTACAGATTTTAAGGTTTCAATAAATGCCCATTTCCCCCCTCCCCCTACAAGTCTGAGTCTCCAGCATGACCATCCCCCAGATGGTGATTGTTTTACAACTTTCTGATTGCACCCCTTAAGATGGAGTCCAAGATACACTATAATTTAATAATAAAATTCTCCTAATCATGAAATAATTTCAAGTATGTTTTTCCATATTTACTTACAGCCTGTAAATTCATTTCAG